GGGGGGGCATTCAATTCAATGACGTGATTGATATCAGATTGTTTCAACCTTTCCTATGTCTTCTAATGATACGCCTTATTATATGGGAGCTGTGTACTCAAAAGATGGCGAAAGCCACTAATGCCTATTTATTCTAGATCTTATCAATTCGTCCGCCTATCTCAGCGTCACCTCCATGGGTTTGTGTTTCTTCTTGTACGCCAAGAATCTTGTCAAATTCATCATGACTTCGTCCGCCCTTTCCCTTAGTTCTGGTTGGGCAGTCTTGTTCACGCTCTTAGCCATAGCCCTTGCCTTTGAAACAGTTCCGTCGAGGTGCTTCAAGAAGCCGCCTTTCCAGAAAACCTCTGCGTCGTAGGGGTACTCTTCGTTTCCGTAAATGTCAAAGACTTGGTTAAATGCCTCCACCGCATCGGCAGCAGGAGTGTCGGGAAGTCCAGCGAGAAGGGTAACGAGAAAAGTGCCAATCTCGCGGTTGAGGTCGGTAGGGGCAGGATGAAGGGCCAACTGGCCGAGGACGCCGACGCACTTGACGCCGAGGGCCTGGAAGGGATCTTCTGGGTCAAGGCGGGCGGGCGCACCTTTTGTGGCCTGGTAGAGCGAGATGAATTTGCGGTGCTCGTTGGGCTGGAGGGGAGTTTCGCCGCGGAGGATTCGGGAGATGGCCCAGGCGAGGCCGGTGATTTGAGTGGCGAGATCGACGTCAGCGGTGTCGGAGGCGAGTGTGGGCGAGACAATCTGTTGCCAGAGGGCACGGCCGATGGGGGTCCAGGCAGCTTTAATGCCGGCATTGGACTCGTCAGACAGATCGAAGAGGGAGACGGACCAGGTGATATTGTTGAGGGCGGAAAGAGCATGGGCTTGAATCTTGAGGGAGAGGTCGTCGGAGGGTTGGAGGTTGGCGAGGCGGATCAGCTCGGGCAGAGCAATCTGGACGAGAGATTTGAGGGTTGGAAGGTGGTCGATATTATCTTCTCCGTGATCAGCACCCGTCACCATGTCCATATCGGCCTCCATCTCGTCTTCGTTCATGTCATCATCTTCATCGTCATCCCCGTCTTCGTCTTCGTTGTCATCTGCGTCCGAGGCCACCTCGTCCATGTTTTCATCGTCGTCCCCATCCTCGTTGTTGTCCTCCTTCCCAGCTCCAGCACCGCTGTGGTCTTTCTTGGCAGATGATTGCGGTGGGCCACCCATTTCAGATATAAGGCTTGTGCCTATAGACGCTAGCGTCTCCAGAGCCAGTTGTTGATACTCTGAAGGACTAGACCAACTGCTACCGTTGGCGACATTCTCTCCAGGGATATACGTAGCGATGGCCTTGGTGAGAGTCGGTATCAGGTCTGAGTCGTCAGCCACATCAGTCTTTGGTGATATGTTCTTCAGCCCGAGAAGGGAGGCGTAAATGTTGTGAAGGATGGCACAAGCCAAGACGCCATCTCCCCCGACATCATCCTTCAGGGCCACCAGCGCGTCATAGCAGACGGCGTTGCCGCCAACGCAGGTGAGCTTCTGGGCTAGATCTGAGTTGTCCTCGGAGAGAATCATGAGACAGGCCATGGCATCTCCGCGGATACTCAATAGAGGATCCTGATCTTCCTGAGCAGTATACGTGATTAGTGTGAAGAGTAGATTGGTGATGGAGGTGTTGTTGGAAATGGCTTCCAAGATTTCGTCGCTAGCCTCAGCTAGAGCTATTAGCAGCGAGACCAGAGACGCCGCGATGCTTGAGATGAAACTCTTCTCAGCCTTGGGCAGTTTTGCATAAGGAGTATCGCTTGAGAAGACTTTGTCATGAATCTAGGTCGCACATTCAAGTTAGAATATTGAACAGGATAGTTGACCGTGCATTTACTTACCAGCCTGGAGGCAAATTCAATTGCCGTCAGCACGTCCTGTCTGAACAAATGAACGCAAAAATCAGCCTCCTCCTCCTGAGCCAAGACCTGCAAAATTCCCCATCCAGCAGCCCGGCTCTCAAGTGCAGCGTCTGTCAGCGTCTGTGTGAGGACGATGTAGACGATCTGTTCGCGCAGCAGCAACTTGCGGCACTTTGTGTCTTGAATGATGCTCGAAATGAGAGAAGCGGCAGTAGAGCGGGATTTGGGATCGGCGCTTTTGAGGTCGTTTATGATGGGTAGAATCTTGCTCTCTCTCAGAGCGGCCAGCTCAGGATCTGAGGGAGGCTTGACGGCTTTGGCTACGGGATCGCTGCGATGGCCGCCTCTGGTTCTCTTTGATTTGCCCATGGCGTCGGTGTGAGGGAATAAAGCGGGAGTTACAGGAATCCAGTATTATATGAAGTGATTGATTATATAAAAGAGAATGTCGTTAGTTAGGACGGTATGGATAGATGGTATTGATCTTTGTGTTGATGAAACTATCTTCACGCATGAAATATCAAAAGTTTTTTTTTTTTCAACACTAACACTGTTGCTCGTACCCCACCATGGTAAGGCTGCCCCTCCACTCACGGAGTACCGGATTGATGGTCTATGTAAGGGAACAAGCTCACACCGAAAATCAAAGCATAGCACTGGAAGGCTTTATAGTTACTCATTAATGTTTTAAGCAGACGATTATAGAGCTCTACACCCTGTAATATTGACGTCCATTGGGCAATGTCTGCCGCCAGTGCCTATAACATCACTCAATGGATCAAATGTCACCTACAAGCATCAGCCACCGGTATAACCGCTGGTATAACCGCTGAGTGCTTACACTGGGCTGCCCCACAATTGCGCCACAGGGTGCTATCTAATCAAGGCCTCTGTGCGACGACAAGCTCCCCCAAATGGGCATAAGTGCCACAACACCGTTTTCATCTCTTCAACTCCCTCACCTCTCCTCTCCTATTCTCTCAAGTCACATCGCTTGGAAGCTCTCGATTGGATCGACGAAGGCAGTCCGAGGCTGATACAATCCGGCCATGTGACAAGCTGGTGCCCGAACCACTTTCGTTTGATTTTGCTGTACTCATACAAGCGCCAACCAGAGCTGAGCTACCAAGTTCGAGACATCATGCCGTCTCCCGCAGCCCGCGGCTGGTCGCTGTCGCAGCTTTGGCGCGACGACGACGAGGAGATGGCCAGCAAAAAAGACGATGATCTTGGCTTGCCTCGGCACGCCAAACATCCCGACCAGTGGCAAGCCGCACCCAAATCTTCACTCCACTGGACCACGGTGCTTCGGCTCATTGTATACGCCGCTGCTCTCCTCATGCTCGTGTATGGGCTGTTCAGAGTCGTCGGGCCTGCTCCAGGGGCCTCATCTCTTGATCCGGCAAACTTGATGCCCTTGTATGACACGCCACGGCCGCCTCCCAGATACGATGCACCTCGGATGGAGGAAGACGGGCCAACCATCAAGACACCAAAGGCGCCCAAGCCACCAGGGCCTCAAGCCGAGCCTCAAGGCGGCAGTGGTAGCGGCATAGGTGAAAGCAAGACTGCTGCGGAAGCTCCTAGATCATACAATGGACCGCTGAAGCTCCCAAACTTGGGCCCGTCGTTGCAAGCCATCATGGCTGACACGTCAGGGAGGCTGCAGAAGAATCGCAACGTCTTATTCACAGCTGCTAGTCTTCGGAGTGCGGCACTTCTCCTCCCAATAGCATGTCAGATGGCGACAGAGCGCCAGAACTATGTACATTTCGCATTGATGAGCAGGAGTGATATGCCTATGAAAGAACTGCTCGCGATAAACGGCATCGACAAGGAGTGCCCTCTGATTGTGCATGGTACGATTGCGCATGTTGCCCACTGAGCCCCTCCGGGTTGACGATAATGCTGATGAAATTGAATATATTTAGATGCTCGTCCTGACCATTCCACAATAGCAACTGACACGCGAATGTCCCTCTCTGTGGCCCGAGCTCTATGTAAGCTTAAAACAAGGACCTACTCTTAATCTCTTTGTCACATGTAATTCTAACAGGCAGCCACTTCCAGACTACGTCAATCTTTACATGCACCCTCAAGCCATCATTATAGACTCCTCAGCTACCGAGGAGCACTATTTTCTCTCTGGCATTCGTGACGAGGTCCGAAGCACAGGGTCTACTCTAATCGAACTTCCAGAGCGGCCAGGCAGTCGATTCTCGTGGTTGTCAAAGCTTGATGCTTCTGCACTAGCAGGTAGGGCATCCCACCACAAACTATCACCTCGATGAAGTTGGTTCTAATCACATCTCCGTGAAAGCGTGGAATGATGTCAGCTTTGACATTCTCATCCATGCCCCTCCACACGGTACAGGAAACCTCAAGCGGTTACTTCGATCTCTATTGAGAGCTGATTTGGCCGGCGTGTCTCCACCTCACATGACCATTGAGCTTCCAACAAGGATTGATCAAGACCTGAACAATTTCCTGACCGGATATCAATGGCCGTCGAAGGCTCCCAGCGCAGGTCCGAAGCCACGGCTTCTCTCGCTGCGTCACCGTATTCCTAGACAGAAAATCGGTGAAGAGGAGAGCTCCGTTCGGTTCCTCGAGTCGTTTTGGCCGACGAGACCGTCTCACTCTCATGTCTTGGTTCTGTCGCCTCACGCCGAAGTCACCCCTCAGTTTTTCCATTGTACGTTTTCTTGTTAACATTTTTCTGATTCCTCTTTGGCCGAGAATAGACTCCGGATTGGCTAACACATGATAGATGTGAAGTATTCCCTTCTGCAGCGACGCTACTCTGCCATTGCATCTCGCCAGGATTGGGAAAGTAAACTCTTCGGTATCAGCTTCTCGACACCAACAACATATCTCGACGATAGCACCCAATTCGCACCTCCAAAACCACTCGAGGGACAGGAACTTGGCGCAGAAGGCACCCCTTTCCTTTGGCAGGCCCCGAACAGCGATGCGATTCTTATTCTGGGAGATAAGTGGGTGGAGCTTCACGGTTATGTATCCCAGCTTTTGGAAAAACGACATGCCTCGTCGGCAACGCCAGATATCATCTCAAAGAAAGAGGTTGGCAAAAGGCATCCCGGTTGGCTAGAATACACGCTTCAGCTGTCGCGCATCCGGGGATACTTTACCCTCTACCCTACCCAGCAGACGGCCAATACCATTGTCGGTATTCACACTGATTTATATGAGGCGCCGGAGGAATATCAAGGCGAGAAGGCTTCCGAGCAAGAACAGGACTCAGTCAAGCTTGCCACGGAGTTGTTTGATCCCGCATCGCAGATAGACATGCTGGCGACGCTTCCGAACGAGGGCGAGTTGCCGCTCCTCTATCACCTCCCTTGGCTAACCTGGGATGGTAAAGAGACATACGACGGTGCTATCCAGAAGACCGCCGCCAAGTACAGGCTGGCATTCCGCGATCAAGTCGGACAGTGCAGAGATGAAAATCCAGAAGCGATTCCGGGTTTTGATTCATATGCGAGGGATCTCTTCTGTTTTAACAAAGAGGTGTAATTTTTTTGTTTATGGCACATGGCGCATTATGTGGTGTTATGGCGATTTATGGAGTTATGCTGAGGCGGTGGTGGTGGCGTCGTATTGGGTTTGGTTATTTTTTTGTATTAATGGGCATTTTTATGTACATCCTTTCTAGGAGAATTTTGTATTCTAAGAGACGAAGAAAACCTCGCTAAACTTGATTGGAAACAAAAAATAAATTGGTTGTACGATATTGCGGTGTTGCTGGTTGCTGTAGATCGTCACCTCTGCCGCACTTTATCTACGACTAACAAGATGATGCACGTTCCAATGATTGAAGCAGCTATTACGCCCAACACCTGCGACAGCGGAGTCAGTGCAGCGCACTTTGTTTTTGAACAGATATTTTCAAACTTACCACCTGTGTCTTCCAGCCAGACTGCACGATAGCAGCTCTTTGACCATATAAATTGACGGTTCCTGATGAAAGGATGGCGACTGCCGTTAGTTCCCATATGTAGATATTGGGATGCGAGGCTGGATATGGGTAAAATAGATGGCTGAAAGAGAGGAGTGAAGCTCACTGATATAGTTTCCCGCTCCCAGAGCCAAAGTCACAACGGACAGTACCCAGAAAATGCCGCCGAGAGGCTTTGCCACCCGGCGCTCGAGATCGCTGGGCGTGCCCTTGATGTGGAACGAGACGGTGATGGCGACGGAGACGATGGCCATGTATATCGATAGGCGGAGGTACGAAAGGAAAGCTGCAAAATGTTTCAGCTACCTACGAATCAAAGGTGAAACGGAGGAATGTCGCGTGTCAAGCATAGAGAGAAAGGCAAAGGCTGAGATGAACCAACTTCGCTCGTTGGCGCAGTGATCCCGCGCATCGCTACTTTCGTTGATGAACAAGAGGGGGCTGGGCCACGGCCACTGGAAAAACGTAGATGATTTGTCGAGGCCATCTGGTCTACTGATTTGTTAGCATCGACCCTTTCCTACCGTCGTCGTGTAGTAGACAATCTTGAAGGAAGAATGAAAAGGCGGTTTTTGACGTGCCCTAATTCGCTGACTTCGATGGGCTCTGTGAGAGCGAGGAACGGGGCGCAGCCTCTTCTTGCGGGATCCTCTTCGTCGGACATGCTGCCTGCTGCTACTGTTGTTGTTGTTTTTTCAATCCCTAGTGTGATGATATTTGATTTCTTTCCGAATTTTGGAGGTTTTTCTATCGTATTTTGGGCTGCGATTGAGCGCGAGTCGCGGAAATGGCGGATTAAGATAAGGTTGCTTGAGGTTTTGGGAAGGAAAGGTTGAGAGAGCTGAGATGACGTCGGGAAGCGCCCCGGAGCTCACGTGCAGTTACCATGTAGCATCATATGGGCCCGACAGCATCACGAGACGTTTATATGCAACGGGTTTCTTTAAATATCGGGTTATATATATTATATATATATGATTTTATTTCTATTTTCAGTACTTTGAATCAATCAATTGTTGTTCATAAGTGAATCCTACAGTAAAAAAAACAAAGCGTTGCATCTAACATTCCATGTATATGCTATACCGACTTTTTCCAGTCGTTTCCCGCTTCGCCTCAGTGACCCAACCATCATCACTTATACAAAAACCGCAGCTGTAAAATCAAACCAGCCAGCCCTCTTTAAAAGCCCCAAATCTCGTTCCATCTTCCTTCTTCCTCTCTCAGAGGGCCATCCAGTCTTCCAAATCTTGCAGGCTGCTCCGTATTCGCCTCTGGCAAGCAAACCCACTCCCTCACACAGTCCGGCACTTCCTCCTTGATGTGCGCAATGCAGATGAGCGCCTGTTGATCTGACAGACCCTTCACTTTGACGGCGCCCTCCTTGGCCTGCTGGCTCTCGACAATCTCCTCGCCTACATACGTCTTTGATTCTCCGTCGGTGAGGAACAGAGTGCACTTATCCCGGACAGCGTCGTCCATGCCGCTAAACGACTCGTCCAAGACAACAATGTCGGGCCCCTTGATCATGGACCGCACAAACAGCGCCACGCGCTGTGCGCTAAACGAAATCTCGCCAAACATGTAGTCGTCGGCCCACGCCAGGCCCTTGCTGCCAGCGGCGCTGTTCGGCTTCAGCTCTGGCTCGAACCACTTGAGCGCAGCCTCGACTTTCGCGCTTGCTTCGGCGTCCAGCTTTGGTTTCGCTCCAAACGTCTCTGCCCAGGCATTCTCAACCACTTGTCTGATTGTGTGGCTCCTCGGCATGTGCTGGTGGACTTCTGGGCTAGAGTGGCCGATGCGAGACTGGATATCCCAAAACGTGAGCGGTAGCTGTCCAGAACCTGGCTCGGGGAGACGGCTGCGCCCAAAGAGCCTGATGGGCAAAGAGTAAGTCTGTGGATGATCCGATCCGAGAAGAGAGACAATTGTCGTCTTGCCTGAGCCGTTGGGACCAAACACACCCCAGCGCTCGCCTCGTCGAACGGTCCAAATCAAGCCTGCTTTGTCACCTTGAGGCGTCACCTGCGACCAGTTCCCAAGAGCAATTTTGTCGCCATAACGGACCTGACATCCATCCATCTCAACAAGAGGTTCGGCATTGGGATTGACGGGTTTCTGTAAATGGGAGGATGACGATGACGCGGCGTGTGTCATCAATGATTCTTTCGACAGGACTCGTCCGATATCAGCCAAGGTGTGAACGGGCAGTTTCTCATCCTCTGCCAGCCCACCCACTCTCACGCCGTGAACGTACTTTTTCAAGCCATCCAGGACCATCTCCTTTGGCCCCATGGACTCGACTTGGCAATCCATCCTCAAGTACACCAGATGCGTGATCCATTCTGGCAGAGGATCCTGCGGCCTCGCACTCAACACCAGGCGCGGGTTTGCCTTGTTTGCAAGAGACTCCAGCAAGGGACTAAGTCCCGTTACCGTCGGAGGATCAAGCCCCATGAAAGGCTCATCCAAAAGCAAAACTTCAGGCCTCGTGAGCAACGCGCGGGCTATTCTTGCCCTCCTACCTTGTCCGTTGCTGAGAAATGTCACGGGCAGATCAAGTAAATGCTCCAGCCTGAGATCTTTGACAACACGCTTCAACAGCTCGGCCGATATTCCACCTTCCTGCTCGCTCTCCTGGGCCGGTGTCTTGGCAGGATTCAGCTCCGTATTGCCCAGCAGGAAATCTCTCAACGAGAAATCAGTAATCTCTCTACGGGACTCGTATCGTGCAGAAAGATACGCAGATGTCGTCACCGCACCGCTCAACCCTCCCGCCCCCTGCTCGGCGTCAAATCCAACATACTGAATCGCCTTGCTGGGCGTCCTCAGCCTGGACGATACGGCATCCGAGGACAAATACGGATACGACCTCGCCGTGGGCGGCTCACATAGCAATCTTCCCCTCAGTGCCTGCAGGAGTGTCGTCTTTCCGGACAGCGAAGGCCCCACGATGCACCAGTTGTGCGGCTGTGGCGTTGATGAGGGCAGCTCAAACTGGAGGTCTTTGAACAGGGCCGGATTCGCATGTGACGACTGCGAATTCGGATGGTGCCGATAGAAGGTACCATTGGCGATGCGAATGATGGGCGATCGCGCTGAAGGTGGGATATTCCTGAGCATGGCTGCGAGTCCCTCGATCTGCCGCCGAAATGTCTACTGCCTTATGGTGGTGATGGATTGAATCGTAGCGTAACAGGTAGGTTGGGTATCGTAGGTAATGTATAGCTGGAATACGCGAGATGGAAGGACGTTCAAAGCACTCTACAGCCCCAATTGAATTTCCGCAAGGCCAAAAACAAACCGCATGAAAAGAAAGAGTAGAAAATATGCACAGGAGAAACAACCAGCTTATTCAATGCCGCACTCACTCACCAGAGCCCATTACACGGAATTGATGTTGACACCAGCTTTCTCCGCGATCGGGCCGCACTCCAGGGTACATGTATTCTCGAGGTTACTTTCTCGGGTTCCCATTGGGGTTTAGTGCCTTCCCAGGCGACAGGCGATAGGCGACAGGATGACAAAAGATACGTACCCCTCCTTCGCAAGAGGGCATGTGGGGACCTTTTGAGCTGGACGCGAGGCTGTTTGGAGCCTGTCAGTGTCTGAGAGCAGCAGCGAAGCATCACTTCAACTCAACACCACCAAAAGCCAATCATCACCAGACCACGATTGTCTCTTCTCTTCCCCCTTTTCCGGTCTTCCTCCATTCGCCTACTTGTACGCAGCAAACCGCCACACGAGCTAGGTCTTGGTCTTGTCCAGCATCCACCGCCTCGCTCCCCCGTCCTTTAAAAGCAAAAGCATCCTCCAAAACCCGCCAACATGGTAAAAGGCCCATCCCATCTACCCCAAAAGCTCCCTCTGCTTTCAAACCTCAAAGCTAACCAAACCCTTCTCCAGTCCATGCGAATCGTCCCCGCCTCCGGCGCCCCCTCCACCTTCAACCACACAAACCACTCCTCCTCGGCCCCGTCCGCCCCCGGCATCCACGACACCCTCCGCCACGGCGTCGGCATCTCCCCCTTCGACGCCGCCGCCAACAAGCCCGCATCATCCCACCCCCTCGAGGCCCGCCTCAAGAGCTGGGAGGCCACCCAGGAGGCCGTCCGCATGGAGACGCTCAAGCGCACGTTTGGCATCGCCGAGCCCATCCGCCGCGGCATGGAGCTCAAGATTGTTCGCGACGGCGAGTGGCGGCCCATGGCTCTCGGCGCCGGGCTGCCCAGCGTCCATGAGGATATCCTCAAGGGCCGAGAGGACACCATCACCTGGGATGATGTTTTCACAGGCAACGAGACGAGGGCCCTGCCTGGATTCCATGACGAGATGGAGAAGAAGCTCAAGATTCATAACTAAGGGGGCCGTGGCCAGTAATTCAGGGAGAATAACAAGGAAAATCAAAGCACCCATACGTATGCTGGTTAGACAGGGTCGTTTCCAGGACGATACAGGATTCTGCTTCCCAATTACATGAAATAGATTAACGAATTATAACCAATATGGAAGAGAAAAAATAATCAAAATAAAAAAAATAATAATGAAAGAGAACGAGAGACGCCGTTATCATCATCAATTTGCATGGGCTGTACCTGCACGATGCGTCGCCATGTTATGAATATGTTCTGCATTTCTATCCTGCTATAGCAACAATCATTCCCCGTTTCCGAAGAAAAAGTCCACTAGTATTAATGAAAAGAGCGTATAAGAACCGAAGCAGAGGTTACACAATTGTACATGAATCAATGATGATGCGCCGATAATGACTCCCTAATTTTCCCAATTCTTCCCCGTCTTGATTTCCCATCGCGCTGCTTCCCTGAATAGCTAAAAGAGAAAGATAAAATAAAACACAAATGAAATAAAACACAACGCAAGGGGCGGGGGAGTACTAAAAGTTCGAGACAGCTTAGAGAAGCTGCAAGTAAAAACAAGCAGAGAATAGCGAATGAGAGACACTGGGCCTTTTCACGCATAAGTAGTTCTAAATCGCTGAGCGCTTTCACGCAAGCCAGGTAATTTTCAGAAACCACTTGAGCGCCAAATCGGATGCCCGTCTCAAAAAAAAAATTACCAAGGGTCTATGCAAACACATCCTTGGAGCGTCCGAACATGTATAATTGCCACCGTATGTTTCAACAAGAGAAAGCACAAAGTACTAAACAGTCAGTACTGTCCGCACCACACGCTAGGATTGCTTTATAGAATGACACAGCAACGACCCTCTCGTACACGGTCCCCATCTGTGGTGCCAGCTGGGAGGCTCTTGCTCCCAGACTTGGGTTCCTCCTCATCAAGGTCCTGGGGCCGGATGCTCATGTGGACCACATTGGGGCTATCGGAACTGAACTGGTACCCTATAGAGAGTGAGTATTGGAACAAGAATGAAGAAACGAGAGTAAGAAATCGACTTGAAAAGACAAGTGCCAAAGGGCATTGGAGGATTGAGTTATACATACTCTTCAGCTGCTCCTTATCATCTAACAGTTTACCAAAATGAATCAGTCGTATGCTGCTAGGACTGGCCGGTTTAGCCTCCCAGTCGGATCTCCACTCTCGCAAAATCAACTCCTTCAATGTATAGATGCTGATGCTGAAAGGATCCGGGTTGCCACTGTCGTCCTGATCGGGCATGTCAACGTGCCTTTTGCTTAGGTATTTCGCGTCAATCTTGTACGGGTGTCGGCCTCCAGACGCTAGCAACAGGGTAATGTTGCAAACTGGACCGTCGGGTCCAGATCCAGCCGGCTTGATTTCCTCTTCAGCGGGGCCGATGGCCATGACTGATTCCTCCAGCTTTTCCTCTTTGGATTTTTCTTCCTTGGGGCTATCTTCCTTGGGGGACACGTCCTTGGGAGCGTCTTGCTTAGCAACCTTCTGCTGAGCGATATCGTCTTTGCTGTCTTCCTCGACTTTCAGAGCCTCTGATTCGGCCGCAGGCTCGGGAGCATTGTCAATCTGTTTGCCTTTTGATGATGAGTCCAGAGTAGGCGTCTCGCCTTGGTCGGTAGATTGGCTGGTAGATACAGGGTTAACCGAGAGCGTCGCGACAGCAGAAGTCTCCTTGGGCGCATCGGTTGTCGCCTCGGCTCCAGGCTTCTCATCCACCGCAGATGTCTGAGCGATATTGCTCATCTGCACGGCATCGGTAGGTTGCTCGAGGCCTGAGTCGTTACCAGGAGCGGCGCTACCACCGTTCGTGGTCGAATCCGTAGGAGCCGACATGTTTCAGTAGGGAGGCGCCGTGGCGAAGCGCGAGGAATGCGGGATCGGTGCAGCACCACCAAAGGGGTTGGCGACGTCGACGAAGGAGCGTATTAAACAACTCAATTCGTCCACGACGAATAGAGCGCGTAAAGGGAAAAAAAATTGTATGTCGCTGGGGTGGTAACGAACGTTTTCAATGCAGCAAGGTGGGCTTGACGGTCTCGGCTGGAGACTGGCTGCGCAGGGAGTAGGTATGGATAGGTGGATGTTAAGGGAAAAGGAAAAAGGCGCCGTTGGAACAAACCCAGTCGACGACTTGGCAGATCAATCAACGAACCAGCAGCAGGCTCAGCGACCAGCCCAGATTCAACTTCCGGGGACACGGGGTGTGGGGGGAGGCAACGACGATGAGCGGGACTCCGGCTAGAATGTAGAGCGAACGAGCGACGAATGCGCTAATGAAGTCGAGCAGCGCTGAGGATTCAAGTGCTGGGCTGTTTCTGTCGACTGAGCTGAGTTCTGTCCAACTTTGCCCGATGCAGGCGGAAAAGCGCACGCCTCGGTGATGTGGAAATGAGCGCCCTGGTTGGATGAGCCTTGCGGTCTTGCCGTTTCCTTTTCCTGCTTTTCCTCAAGCCGCGGGTGCAGGGGCAAGGGTAAGGAAAATGTGATGGAAGTGATTAGGAAAGATGGAAGAGCAAGCGGAGATCAGCCGCAGACGAACGGGCGAGAGAGAGCGAGAGTCTTGTTATCTTAGCATGAAGTGGACTCCGTATTCCCAAGTGCTGTCTGTAATCACAGGCAATGCGGCCGAGCAGACCCCTGTCGCTATAGCGCCGACAACACACGCCAATTGGCCGCAAAGGGACACCAGACGAACGCAGTGGCGCGGGGAAGCAGGTCAGTGTGTCCGGGACTCCGCGGTAAGAAATGAATGTAGTATTTTGCGCTGTTGATGAAGCCCGCTGGAGATGGTTTCTGTAAGTTGGAAGATGTAAAGGCGGACGGCTACGTGGCGAGTATTGTGTCAATAAAACCACACTGGACGCTGTTTCTGCCGCCTACCTAGTTCTTGGTCGGTGAGAAGCTTGCACCTTCCGCTTAATGCTTGTGGTAAGTACTAGGGCAGGTACTGCTGACCAAAGGCTGAGAAGCGGAAGGAAGGGTAAACAACATAGACAGGCAGGATGCTTTTAGGAATTGGGTTGTAACCAAGAGCCGCAAATTTCGTTCATCTACGGAGCACACGGTAAGTATTCGGCTCGAGCAACAGGTCGGAATCTACGAATTAAACAGCGGTGGCCGCCAGATCAGATACGGGCTGCCGGGTATTTGCTGGCATCCCTCCGTTTGCCGTCTGCGAGCTCCTAACATCAATTCTGAGACGAGACACAACTGCCGCCGAGAGCTGGAGCCGGATCTGATCGAATCTCGGAACGTGGCTAAACAGAGGGCCATCGACGTCTTGTCTCTCTCTCTCTCTCTCTGCTTAATCCTATAGATACCAACTGCATCCTCTGCGCTCGGCAACACAAAGAGCTAGCAAATCCCTTTCCTGGTGGCGCCGAGAAGCCGCGCATTTGCTTCATCTTGCGCACTCCGTGTCAAATCTGCCATGCGTACGTACAGACCAAGATGGCGCCATTCATGCGCTGCTGGACAATCTATTGGACATTTATCTTCCGCTATTCATCATTGCCGGCGGCTAGTGGCTCGCCCTGCAGCAAACACTTCATACTGACGCACCGCTTCTGTTCAAGCCTCCAATCTCACCCTCTTTCGGCTTCTTCATGCATGATAAACTGCCCTGGCATCAGCCAACCATCTGTCGCTCTCAACCTTCCTACCCGGGAAGGCGCTGCCGTCTTAAAACCAACCATCAAGGGCCAGAGAGACAGGGCAACGATGGACGATTTCCTCCTCGGCTGGGCAAATAAACAAACGAACGAAACTCACCTCTTTTGGACGACCGGGGGATGGGGCTTGGGGCGTTTGTCGGCTAACATTCCGCAGGCAGCGGGACGCCACCCAGCACTGAGCCCATCACCATCAACGCCATCTACGTCTCTACTGATAGCCACGACTCTCTACGTGGAATACTGAGCATTCTAATCCAACGACCGAGGTGACTTGTGGCTGTTTGTTAGTGCTCTGTCCCCACCGCTATCGCCGACATCATTGCGATGGCGAGAGGAAAACCGCACTACAAGTACGCTGAGCGTTCCCCAGACTAGCTAAACTACAGATAAGTACATTCGCGCTCACCAAGCTCCGTTCTCCTTGCCGTCTTTGCCCAGATTGAACTTTGCACGTCCCTTACCTGGTATATCTGCTAGGCACTCTCCAGTTGGTGTCATCGAACCCTCCAGCATCAAACCAAGTACATGCATCAGCCTAAAGACGCCTCATTCATTCCAACCCCCCTCAGTGCTCTTGTCTGACAGGCACGCAAACTCTAAAGGACTATTGACCAGGGTATGAAAAACCTGCAGCTATTGAAGGTGAAAAATTTTGTAAATCACCAAGAAGTCCCAAACATCGATAACAATTTGCAGCTCTGCAGTCTCTGGCTTAGATGCTGTAAATGAGCTCCGCTCGCTGCCGCAGTTCCCGACCACGATGCCCCACAAGGCTCAGGCCTACCAGGCAATATACCAGGTAATATGTCTTGTGCCGTGCTGAGGATGATGGGGCGACTGCTAGTTGGCAGCATCAGCACGGGAGTGAAAAGGATACCGGTCTTCCTGTGGCACCTCATATGCAATATTGTGACTGGACAAGCTCGTAGGAAGCTGCCCATCCTCATTTCAAGAGCGTAGACATCAAGGAGATTGCCGTCTTCGTGTTGGTAGCACGCTGTGTTTGCACCTTGTAAGCTGACTCGGCGATCCCTTGACCTCGTGCCGAAACTGGCATTTTCCCAGTTTGGACGAGCAACAAGCTCCCGCTTGGGAAGCGTCTGAAATCGAGCATATAGAGAAAGCTTCATCGAAGAGCAAGCGTACATGCGGGTTATCAAGTAATGTACGCGTGTTTATTACTACTATGTAATACGTGCTTATACCTGAGCCATTGTGATATCACACATGTGCGATCACTCGGATGCCTGTACACAGCTTGCAGATGAGTCCCGCAAATAATTCATACATACAATCACGTCAATCTCCCCAAAGACCCTCTCGTTTCCCCACAGCAGACAGAATGTCATGCTGCTGCTCTGGCTCCACAAGGCATATCTGAAGACTGCGAAGTATTAATAGTTACCCTGTTTACTAAACCATGCAACATGTCTTTGTCCTGTCAGGTAACGATGTGGCTTGATTTCTTGGGTGGCAGTTCGGATCTACCAAAGAGAATGAACTGTTGGACAATTCGTCACGATGGACTTCTGTCTTGTACCGAGGCAGGTATCTGGGTACTACAACTAAAAGTATACATTCAAAACTATTTGCAGTCAATGGGTAAAGTAGGCTACATTCTAAACCAGATCTTACAACGCTCCTCCAACCAAGACACGCAAAGTACCTTGTAATAAGTAACAACGTCAGTTCAACCCATGATTCGGCATCTCTTCGTCCCAAGGCAATACGGCCCTTATTTCACCAGCCCACGCCTGTTCCATCTACAAGACCAACAAGTCACCGTTGCTTCCCTCGCCATGCGCCGGCTGCAGCACGGCCTGCGGTGCCAGAGCATTGACAACATAGCCCGTGCCATTAAGGCCTCCTCCGCCGAACCCATCGTCCCCGCCGTCTATCCTCATTGCCGCCATCTGCTGCGTCCCAATGCTGGAGAAGTAGGCGTCTGCGTCATTCACCGCCTGCGCAAGGTTGCCGCCTCCATTGGCAGCGGGCGAAGCGGCCGAAGGGACGGCGTTGCGCGTCCTCAGATCGATATTGGTAGGCTGGCTTCCGTTGCCAAACATACTGATGCTCTTCTGGGTTTCAATGTCGTTGGATAGATACTGCTTCTGCAGTGCCGGAGAAGCAATCAGCTTTCGCGGCCTGGCAGAACGGAAGACAGACTGCACCGGCTTGAGGTACACGGTTGCTAGGGTGCCGACGTTGAGACACATTTCCTCCAGAGTTGATGACTCTAGCCGCTCTGACTCCGCCGTGATAGGGGGTTTCTCTCCCATGACGATGCTCTTGGCCGAGTTCATGTCGGTTGACAGCAGTCGCCAATACATGTAGGCCCGATCACGCAAATCGGGGTTATCTGTTTCTTCGGTGGCCCACTTGAGGACTTTTGGCACCAGCTCTTGGCCCTTGGTTGGCCTCTGGATGAAAAGCTTGACCGTTGCGGTAAGAAGCGCCAGCTGGACCTCTACAGGCTCTTCCTGGAACGAGTACAGGAAGTCCTCCAGCAACGCGTCGCTGTTTTCTATGCGGTCTGCGTATTGGCCAATGACCCAAACCATGGCGGCCTTGGCCTCCGGCTCATCAAGTGAGTCCAAGTGCTCACATAGAGTGCCGATAATGGATTCGTATTGGTTTGGATATTTGCGGAAGATGTTTCGAATCACCACTGTGGCTTCCTGGACGATGTACGTGACCTTGGTTGCAACAAGCTCCAGGAGCAGGTCAATGCATCGTCGGGCCGCGGGCTCAATCTTGATGGCGAGCTTGCCAATGGCGCGAACAGCTTTTCGCACGAAATGGACGTCGATTTCCGTGGCGTATTCTCTCAGCTCGGTGAGGACCTCGTCAATGTTCTTCTCATTGGCCAGCATGAAGATGAGCTCCAGCTTGGTAACCTTGACGTAGATTGGATCATTGTATTTGCAAAAGAAGACGCGGATATCGTTTCGCAGCACCTCGGGCCGCCTTTGCAGAATGAGGAGGGCGTTTCTAAGCGCGAGATACTGTACCTCGGGACCTTTGGCTAACAGGGTCACCAGAGGTGGAGAGAGTTTCTTGCAGAGTGCCGAAATCTGCTTCTGGTCCGCGATATAGTTCAACAGGTACAAGATCACTCGGATGCAGGTCAAGACAACTGATGAGTTGGAGTGAGAGAGTCGAGGAGCTATCCGCTCTGCCAGAAGTGATGCTTCTCCTGACTCTTGAGGGACATATGACATGAGCGCCTCCAGGATGTATGTCTGACCCCATCTTGACGGGTGGTTAGCCATGCTTTACAAAATGCCCATCACAGATTGACATAAGATGGACTTACTCGGAACAGTCAGCCAGGATAGCAACCATTTTGGAAGCATTGGTGTAATCAATAGTCAGCTTGATAGCATCGCTCCTCTCCCAGATGTCCATCAAGCCAGCCAGCGCACTGGCAACAACTGTGGGGTTGTCGTCCCTTAGCAGGGAGTTGAGTCGATCGATGAGGTCTGACTGCTCCACCATGTGCCTGTCGTGGTCGTAGAGCTTCGCGACGCAGAATGCAGCAGTCTTTCGTACATATGGATCCGAGTCTCTCAACATATGCTTAACTAGAGGAACCGTGGCGGCAACGAACTCGCGCACGTGGATATACGACATGGTCCGCAGAGCCAGCGCTCGCACCAGGGGGTTGGAATCTTCCATATCCTGATTTCCATCAGTTAGCTTGCTGATGCGTATCCAGATGCTTGCCTTTTTGCGCTTGTTGTTAGACTTACATGTTCCAATATCGGAATCGCGTTGACCGCAATCTCTGGTCGAACTCGCGCATAGTTGACCAGGTACAGAAAACACCTATCGGCAGGAGTATCAGCATCGTTTGTGACGTCTGAATGCTGACAAGCAGAGTCTGAGCGGGCCATACATTTTCTTGATCTCCAAGCTCGAGATGTGCATGCATTGGATAATGTCGGGAAACAGCGCAACCATGTCGTTGTTGCTCATCGTCATGTTTGCTACAATCCGCTTGAGCGCAATCTTCTTGGTCGCATAGTTCTTATCCTTCTTTCCGCCACTGTTCAGCTCGAGGCGCAGCTCCGCGACTTTGCCCTGTGACGATCTTAGTTTATTGAGCGAAACAGCCGGCATGTATACGAAGCCGAGGGGCAGAGCCATCATGTCATCAGCTTGCGCGGTTGCGCAACAAGGGCTGTCATTGTTGGGACAGACGCCGAGAGATTTGGCACACCGCAGCTATCGCGGTCTCGCAAAGAGCACGGCCGGGGCACTGTCTTCGTCGTCGCTGTCGTCGCCGCCCTGCAACGATGCAAATATGATGGTGGCAGATACAAGCGGCAAAGCAGTAACAACGCGCACAAGAAAAATCGACAGGATAGGGCAGAGGTAGACGAAGCAGAACGGGCACTCATCGAACAGAGACGGAAAAAGAGACAAATAAATGAGTGCTTACCCGAGCGAACAGCTTGGAATCCCCTCCACCAGCGGTGTTGGACATGGCGTCGACAGCTAGTAACAATTACTTCCTCCTCCCCCGCAGAATCGATGCAACGCAGCCTGGTCTGGTCTGGTTCTTGGACAGTTGCTCCGTAGCCGAGTGTCGTCACGCGCCGTTGGCAACCCCTTGATAAAGCTCCAAACACACAGCAGCAGCAGCGCTGTAGGCGGGCAGATTCCCCCCCTAGCTACAGCCTCCGTTGGATAGAGCCTTGTTCGATGTGCTGGCTAAACCGCCTAATTGTGAAACTAGGTGGCGTGTGTAATGCACACTCGCACTCACACCAACCACTAACTGCTCAAATCACACGAGGCGAATGTCACAAAATGTCTGCAGAGGCCCGGCCGTCGAGGGTAATCGGCGAATTCGCATGTACTATGTCGTGAACGGGTTGTCGCAGAGAGGCGAGCTGACCAATCGGTGCCGACACGCGCCCGTTGTTGCTGCCGCTTCGGCTCGCCGCAGGGTCGTCCGAGGAGTCGCGGATCGTGGGGCTCCGGGGGGAATTGGAGGCCGAGGGGCGTGAGAGGCTTCGGGTCGGATCTGTGGGCGCGACAAGACGGGATTCTGGCTCTCTCCTTGCGGCTCAAAGGTCGCGAAGCCGTGATGGGAAAAGAAAAGGAGGAAGCGCGCGCCGGCAGGGTCGGTATGCAGGCAAGGCTCTGAATGGCCATGCATTTGGCGGCCGGGGCTATCGATAAGATGGGCCGCAGCTGCTACGGAGTACTCGTACAGCTAATTACAGGCGCTGTGGGCTTGGCGACCCACCGCTGCTAAGTGGCAAGCCTAAGTACCTACCTCCCAGTAGGTGCTTTCGGACAGAACAGCAGTGACACAAAGCATCGACAGCTACGGGCAGTTCCAGCCTTTCGCAACATCGATCGCGGCGAACCGAGGCGAAAAAGACCGAGCCTCAATCAACGCAATAGAATCACAGGCAGCCCCGACAATTCCAACTCGCCGACATGGCCTCCAACCAGGACCCCGCCGTGCCCTACTGGGTCGCCCAGCTCAATTCCCCTCCCGCCGCAAAGTCCAAAATCAGCGGCATCATCGACCCTCCAGGCTTCTCTGGAGCGCCCAGCGCCCCCAAGGTTCGTCAATCTCGACAAGACTGCTGGGGAAAAGAAAACTTGCATCAAAGCTGACTTTGAGCCTCTCTCTCTCTCTCTCCAGAAAGGAAAAGACGTCAAGACGCAACCCCGGAAGCCTCCCTCAGCCGAAGAGAGAGACACGCTCAAGCTCAAAAAGGCCTGGGAGGTCGCCCTCGCGCCTGTCAAGGGCCTCCCCATGACTGCCATCATGATGTACATGTCGGGCAACTCGTTGCAAATCTTTAGCATCATGATGGTCTTCATGGCCTTCAAGAACCCCATCGTCGGCTTAATGTCCACGAACCAGGCCTTTGAGCGCTTCCAGACCGACAGCAACGCGGGCCAGATCCTGCAGACAAAGGCTGTGTACGTGGCGATGCAAATTCTGGCACTGGCCGTGGGTGTTTGGAAAATCAACTCCATGGGTCTATTACCGTATGTTGAATTATTTTCCAACAGAAACATAGTCTTGGAACTCTTTCTCCTTGACGTTATTTACTAACTTGATGCTAGGACGACACGATCTGACTGGTTGATGTGGGAAAATTTGAGAGAACCTGTGGAGCACGCAATTCCAGCTCTCTGAAAAAAAGAGAAATAAACAAAATTAATAGTATAGTAATGACGACTTGCATGAGTACATTATGCTATGGACGGATCAGCTGTCCAGTTACCAACGCCGCTGCCATGCAGATTCCAAACACTACGCGACGCTATTCTTGAACCAGGTGTATATATGAGAAAAGGAAAAACAGAATAGAAAGAAAATCCATGTCATCATAAGGACATTGTCGCCTTATCTTGTCTCTGTCACCCTCGACTCTGCCCGTTCACTGTCACTGCTGCTGTTTTTCCTCTTCAATTTTTCAGCCCTCCAACGAGGGCCTCGCTTCTCAATGAATCTAAGCCAAGGCAAGCATGCCACCATGAGTAGTGCTAGGAACGTAAAGCACCAGCCTCGGCCCATGGCATCAATCATGTAATCCACAACGGCCGTGGCCCCCGCTCCAAACAAACAGCGGACGAGGTTGTTGGCCGCTGCAGCCGTAGCCGGTGAGCCAGGATATAAATCAACAATGAGGGTGTTGAGAATGCTGAATGTGCTTGGGACCAGCATGCCGATGAGGAATATAAGGACGAGGGGCACGGCCACGCTCGTCTCCGCTTGCAAAGCCCAGCCATAGCCAATGACAGCAGCTGCGCCTGCTAACAAGGATGGATAGATGGGTTGAATGCGTGCGGACTCTATTGGAAAGTCGCCGATTTCGTTTCTCCGCCCATGGTTCGCGTCGACTCCCAGCTTCTTTGCGATGCGGCGGTAGTTCCAGTCCACGACGTATCCTTGCAGAACAACTGTCATGCAGCACCCGAGGCCGTACGGCAAGAAGCATAGCCCGACCTCTAGTTCGTTGTAGTTGTAGATTTCTGTGAACAGCGTCGACAACGTGGCGGCAACGAGGATGAAGTTGCAGTAAATAATGGCTGCAATGAGCAGAATCTGGCTCATCTGCTTGTCGAAAGTAATGAGCAAAGTGCCCAGGGGATTCGGGAAGCGCAGTTTTCTCTTGGGCCCAGGTTCTCGTTCCTCGCCCGATTTCCTTCTCTTCAGAAACTCGACCAAAGTGATGTTCCATGGTTGGGGTGGAATTGAACCATTTCCGACAACGTTTCGACACACTTCGGGAACCGTGGCAACCCATGGGACCAGCCATACGGCAACAAAGATGGCACAGAACCAGAAAATGGACGGCCACCCAAGATATTGACTCAACAACCCCCCTATCACTGGACCAATGGCCGGCCCAATGTTGATTCCAACACTGACAAAGCCCATATACTTCCCCCTCTCGGCGGTTGGCGTGATGTCCGCAACAACGGCGTACGAAAGAGCCAGGGTCCCACTGCTTCCTGCTGACTGAAGGCATCGTAATACAAGGAGGGCAGCGTAGTCGCGTTGCAGGGCGAGGCCGATGTTGGCAAATAGGTAGATGATGAAGGCCACGATAAAAGCGGGTCGACGGCCGGCCATGTCGCCGAAATCACCAAAGATGGTTGGCGCAATGCCCTGGAAGATCATGTAGGATGTCAGGGTGAAGTTGATGAGCGAAATGGAGACGTCGAGCTCTTCGGCTATGGCATCCAGTGCGGGAAAGTAGATGTGGGCTGTCATTGGAGAGACCACACTGGCCACGGTTGCCATGATGGTGATCCATATCTTCATGCGGCGGGAAAAGATGCTGTAGGGCTCGTTGGTTGCGTGTCTGGTCCCCAGCTCGACATCGTTGAATATGTTTCCTCCTGGGTTTTGACATGTTGGCGGCTGTGCGTTGCTTTGATCCTCGAGCTCGGCAGGCGGATTCCGGACAATCTTCTGATCCCCGAGAGGTTCAATGTCAGATTCGCCTTCAACCGGTGAGACGCTCTCGCATGTCTCTTTGTCGACCGGCTTTGTCGTTTCATCTTGCTTCATGGCGACGCATTCGCATTGGCCACGATCTCAACCGGGCAAGATGGACGAGGCGGGCGAGATGGGGATAGGATGATGAAGGATCGAAAGGGCAGAGGAAGAGGAGAAAGAGGAGATGCACTGCTTTCAGCTTCAGATCGGTAGGGTAGCAGCGGAGACACTTGGCTGTGGACGATCGAACTTCGGTTTCCCCACAGATTCGGTCGATGCCCGTTATCTGCCCCCGAAAAGCCGGTGTCTCCCTCGGCTCTCGTCTGATCCAGGGCCGCAGAGACTCTTGGCTCGAATCGGGTCAAATGTTGCGTCAGGGATTCAGACGCCCTGCATTGCAGATACGATCAAGGGAAGCAGAAATCCTAAGCTTTCCGGGGAACCATGACATTTGACTGCCGAAAGATGATGCCGTCGTCCAGGTCGCTTGATACTAGGTAAGACCGAAGGCAGTATTTAGTCTTTGCTTTAAACCACATAAGACTTTGGAGGGCCCGGGAATAATCAATAGGGAGAGGCGAGAGAGAGAAAAAAAAAATTCCCCTGCCATTAGCATCGCGCCGGCAAGCCCCTTCCACCTCGGTCGACGTCCGAACAAGAGAGGAACAAACCCATGATATCTATCATCCGCGAATCACAGAGTTGCGTAGCCGTTAGCTCCCGCCTACGCAGCTCAATGTTGCTTTGGCATTAGCGTCGATATTCTCCGGTGGCGCATCATGATTTTCCGCAGCCAACGTCAATACGAGTAGTAGCTGTGAAGTGGGAATGTAGAGCCGAGTTGAGTCCTATCAAGAGATTCGGCTCAGTTATCGCCTGTCTGCGTCCCTGGACACATGTACCCATCTCATTACTTTGCTCCTGGTAGTGATACTCATCAACTCTGCTCCGAGAAACTCGGGACAATACTCGGCGACCAGAGCTGTTTGCAAGTTGGTGGAATTGCGTGGCTGATAAGCTTCTGCTGGCTCAGCTCAGTGTTTGCGAAGCCCGATCTTGGAAGCGGTAACTGAAGCCTATGCCAAGGCATCAGGGGAGGATTCCATCATCTTCATTAGGAAATATATAAGACGCGAGTCCGCAGCCCCCCCCTGCCTTCGCATTGGCACATCACGAGCACTCATAATGGTCCCTGAAGGCCGCATGTGATATTTGAGCGGACGCGGTCAATGGCCGCTGTTGGTCGGACGTTTTGCTCAGCAACTTGCAGCCATATGGCTCCTTCATGAATCGTAAAGCGACAAGTTGATGTTGAAGATTGGCGGGAATAGTCCGGGCCAAGGATTTCTGTGGATCATTTTCCCAATTAATTAAACAAACTAACAATCGGTAGGCATTGGGTGAGAGCATTCAGCCGTAGCTTGCGTAGGTCGTACAAAATCTGCAAATGAATCGTCAAGCTCGGTTGTACTACCACGACGAGTGGATTCCAGGATGACTAAGCATTTCGTTACGCCAAAGCTTACACCATACGTAGCTCCAAATTGACCATCCGGATGACGTCCAGATGCGACAGCTTTGGCGACGGCTCTCTCGGGCGCGATTGAACATTGCCAAATAACCATCCACAGCATGGACGGCTCAAGTTTACAAATATCAACAGCTGTAGACATCACAGCGCAGTTCAACGAACTGCTTCAGCAGCACCACGCGCCGCCGGTTGTCAAGAAAGTCTCGCTGGACGATATTGATAGCTTCCTCAAAGAAGCATACCGAATTGTCAGTTCTAGTCGGCGCAGGCAAAGCGAATGGAACTTTGAGAGCCCCTTCTGACTGCTTCTGAATCCAGAACTCACACATAACAAGCCTGCACAAACAGCTTCAGGATGTACGGCAAGCGTATCTCTCGACGGCGCAACCCCGCCGAGCACAGGCTCGATTTGCCCAGAACCAGCCACGAATATTATCCGACCGAGAGCGAGAAGAGGTCGACGCCAATGCAAAGCAGATGATACGAGAGCTCAATGCAAGCATACGATCACTAGACGAAGCGGAACAGCTGCGCCGAGAGACCGAATCAGCCATTATCCGCAAAAAGTTCACCAAGGGGCTGGGCGCTCTCGGCTCGTGGGCATCCGGCGGCATTGCTAGCAGCAAGTCCGCAGAGCATGCCGCGGCCGAAGGAC